ATACCAGGAGGGTAGAGGGAAGGTGGGGGAGAAAGGGGGAACAGATGAAAATGATCGACATATAACCACCACCACCCCCACACACACACACACTCCTGGGGGGTGGGGTGAACAACAAAAAAGTGGATGAAGGGAGACAGTGGTTGGTGTAAGACATTAAATTTTTTAAAAATAAATTATCAAGGATTCATGAGGGAGGGAGGGTGGTGAGGGGAGGGAAAAATGAGGAGCTGATACCAAGGGCTCAAGTAGAAAGAAAATGTTTTGGAAATGATGATGGCAGTATATGTACAAATGTGCTTGATACAATGGATGGATGTATGGATTGTGATAAGAGCTGTACAAGCTCCCAATAAAAAGATTTAAAAAATAAAAGGTAAGAAAATAAATAAATAACTGTCTCATAGGATTTCTAATATTGCATCTTTATGGAAGCAGCCTGCCTTATCTTCCCCCCACAGAATGGCTGGTAGGTTTGAACAACTCATCTTAAAAGTTAGCAGAAGAGTGTTTTAGTACTGTATCACCAGTATATATAATAATAAATATATTACTTATTCTACCTATTTGTTTATATAATTAGAATTAGATTGGCGAGAAAGAATTTTTTTTAATTGGCTTTTATATGTGCCAGTCAAAAATGACCTTTTCTACTTCTTTCTCCAAGTACATTTTATATATATATATATATATATACACACACACACAAATATTTACATATACTTGATGCAAACTTAGTTTAAGGTGAATTTATCTCAGACACACTTTTCCAAATATGCTTCCAATGATATACCAATGAAATGCCTGATCAATTTCAAATTTAACAAAAAAACCCTTCTTTTTAGGCAATTATGGGAAGTAGCATATTAATGAAAACTACATAGAAGTAACTGCTTTAATTTTCAAAATGACCATATTTTCGTTTTCAAGCTGTAAATAAAGTAAAATAAATTACGTGTCTGCACTGTATACTCGAAAGCCAGCCAAGCTCACCGACAGTCTTTCAAATCCATTGGCATCATCTTTTCCTCAGCCCAGGCTCTGTCCTCCTCAAGGGTGTGGTGGGCGTCTCAGTCTCCCTTATTTTGGCTTATCAGCTGCCACCGAGTCAGCCCCACTCATGGCGACCCCTGTGCGCAGAGTAGAGCTGGGCTTTTCTTGAAGGCTGTGATCTTTTTGGAGCAGACCACCAGGCCTTTCTTCTGCACTTCCTCTGGCTGGCTTCGAACGGCCACCTTTGCAACCAGTTGTCAAGTGCTTCGCTGTTTGTGTCATCCAGGAACAGCTTTGCTCTTTCATTGTTCATCTGCCGCCTTAGCTGTGTCTTTCTAAAACTCTTTTCTGCTGCCACCAAGTTGGGGGTTATTTTATTTTATTTTGTTTACTTTTAAAGAACACACAAATGATCTCTTTGTCTTTATCGGACCATACATTATCTTAAAAGAAAAACACACAGAGAGCAAATATACCATGACACATGAAGTTCACATATCAGGGTGTATTTCATTAATACAATATTAAACATGCTATCTACCGATAATAAGCATCTGTGTATGCAGGTTCTCAGTGGTCTCTCACAGCCACTGTATGAATTATTTTCTCCATTTCCACTATTTTCTCCATTTTCTATGTGAGAAAACGGGGCTCCAGCTTACTAAGTCAGCACTGCGGGTGTGAAACTGGACTCCTTCTGGATGCACTGTAGCCATCTGGCACTTTCAGGAATACAATCATACTCGCCATTGCATGCTTGCAGGCAACATTCTATGGCACATGGAGTTATTAGCGTTTTAACCACTTTGTCTTACATACTTTGGGCATGTGGTCCGGAGCAGTAGAGGGGCAGTGAAGGAGATGAAGGCCCGCAAGGAGATGGGTTGACACGGCGGCATCAACAATGGCTCAAGCATGGGGACAATTGTGAGGATGATGCAGGACCCAGCAGTGTGGCATGCCTAAGGTCACTATGGACCTTAGACACCAGGGTGTCTAACAACAACAGAGTCCAGAAACCCCAGCCAGAGGTTAGGGACAACAGAGAACGAACACAACAGCTTTCCCAATGCTACCTGCGTCTTTCATGTCTCTTGTATGCAAAGTGACACACTGTGTGTGTCAGGCCTTGTGAGTCAGAGTTGACTTGGCAGCAGGGAGTGTGCTGAATCGTTAATCACTGACGCTTACTGTCCTTTTACCCTCAGCCTGGAAAACATGCTCATATTTCTCTTAAAGTTTTTTTAAAGCCAAAGTCACTAACACCCTCTGTTATGGGCTCTATTGTGTCTCCCCTTGCCCTCCATTCCCACACACATAAATATGTGTTGTCAATAGTATCTTCTATGCTTATGATCACAGTCCCATTTGGAAATGGGTTGTCTTTTATGTTAATGAGGCAGGAGTAGTGTACGGTGCCCAGTAGATTTGCACTCATAGAAACCCTATTGGGCAGAGCAGAACTGCCCCATAGAGTTGCCCAGTCTGAATCGTTATGGAAGCCGGTGACCACATCTTTCTGGAGCAGAGCAGTTGGGTTTGCGTAGCAGGCCACCTGGCTAGCAACGGCGCTTCCTCACTGCGCCACTAGGGGTCCTTTCGGCTACAGTAGCTCTTAGATGCCTAAGACACCTGTGTCAGTCAGTCTGGCGCAGTGTAATTCCTTTAAACTACCAGGCAGGCCCAGCCCAGCCACGCTACAACGACAGCCCGGCCTTGTTATTTATTTAACCACACCGTTTATTCCTTTGCCAGGGCTCCTTCCATTCCGTGTCTATGTGTATGCCGTTGCACGTTGTCATGGATCTCTGCTCAGGAACAGCAGTTATATTTCAGATGTCGCGAGCCTGTCATCCTGAGTGTGTGTAGCCAAGCAGCCTGTTTGGGGTGGACAATGTGAAGGACCCTGCCCGGAAGTAGGGAAGGCAACATACCGGGCAGCGGAAGTCAGGTGCTGGCATGTCTCTCTTGCGCCCATTATCTACTTCTTTATTAGATAGAGCAGTGGTTCTCAACCTTCCTAATGCCGCGACCCTTTATTACAGTTCTTCATGTTGTGGTGCCCCCCAATCATAATACTATTTTCATTGCTACTTCATAACTAATTTTGCTACTGTTATGAATCATAATGTAAATAATCATAATGTAGATATCTGATATGCAGGATGTATTTTCTTTCTTTTTTATTTTGGATTAGCTTTATTTTATTTTTTTAAAACATTTTATTAGGGGCTCATACAACTGTTATCCCAATCCATACACACATCAATTGTGTAAAGCGCATTTGTACATCATTTCTCAAAACATTTTCTCTCCATTTAAACCCCCGACATTAGGTCCTCATTTTTCCCCTCCCTCCCCGCTCCCCCCTCCCGCATGAGCCCTTGATAGTTTATAAATGGGTATTTTGTCATATCTTGCCCTGTCCGATGTCTCCCTTCACCCACTTTTCAGATGTATTTTCATTGTTACAATGACCCCATTGTTATAAACTCTACAGCCATGGAGCAGCTTCCAACTCACAGGAGCCCTGGGGTCATCTTTATGGAAATACAGGCTGTAGCGTCGTTTCTTCATTGAGTCGTGGATTAGCAGCTAAATGCTTTCAGGATATTAAGTAACCTTTATGATATCAAGGAACCTATATACAGATTATAATAGGCATTAATTGTATTTCTTACATCACCTTTATTCCTCTCCCAATTTTTTACCATCAAATGAAAATTATTTTTGCCATTCTTTCTACTCCCATTCTACCATTTTACATTGGAGTGGATGGTGTGGGGGATCTACCAGTAAATAGGGGAAGGCCGGCCCTTGCAAGCCAGCACGCAGTGTAGCAGAAGCCAGGCATCTGTGAGGAACAGAAAGTTCCTCCCCAGGTTGTCGCCCATAATAGATGCCAAACCTAAGGTGCTGCTTGCAAACACTGGCTGTACACTTGGAGGTCAACTGCTTAAAGGTTATCTGCCTGAAGGTTACCAGGCACCCAGAGCAATAGAACCCTATAGTCTGCACCAACCAAAGTAGAGCCACTCCCTTCTGATAAGGATAATGGGTGGTGCCCCTGAAGGAGAACCCAGAGAGACTGTCCCACCCTAAGTAGAGCCCACTCCCTTCCGATAAGGATACTGGATTGTTCCCTTGAAGGAGAGCACCAAGACACCTAAGGTCAAGCCAACTCAGAGACAACCACAGTTAGGCTGCCTCTTGACTCTAAAGCCCCTCTTGTTACATGTGTGCCTTCCTGTCATATGTATGCCCCTATTGTCTCCCCTTCCTATTGCATGTATACCCCTAGCTTGTCCCCTTCCTGTCACATGTATGTCTATTGTACAACCCCTTCTTGTTACGTATGTGGTCACGTGTCATTAAGGGGGCTTGCATGCCCATAGAGTGTACATAAGCCTTGGTTGGAAATATATCCTCTCTCTCTGTGCGGACCTGGCTGCGGAAATCGCGACCATCCTGGAGGTGAGCATTCTCATGCTTTATCTTGTCTGAGGTCTCATTAATTTTACCCTCAATTACACAACCGCCCCTTGGACCCATTCGGGTGTAGGGGCTAGTCCCCCACAGGCATCCTCGCGGTGTGTGCTTGACTCGCACAGCCTTTGTGTGGGAGTTCTGAGCCTACTTCAAGAGCCCTGGCATCCTTTGCTCTCTTAGAAAATTGGGTCATCCTACAAAGAGACCTGGACCAGCTTATCTGAGGATGTGGGGCTGTGTATACAGAGAGACCCAAGTGGCATGGAATACCAACTCAGCAGGACTTGCTACATAATTTGTCAGCCTTTCGTTGCAAAATTATTAAGAATTTCAAGAGGGTTGCAGCAGAGCACGAAAGGGAGAATGGGACCCTGCTGAGCTGGATGGGGTGCTGCTGTACAAATTGTATACCCATGAAGCCAACCGGACCACTAAAGACTCCGTCCTGGACCATCCAAAGAGAAGAACCTCGCAGCAAAGTGCAGCCTGAATTGCTGACCTATAGAATACTTAGCTAACAAACATTTCAAACCACGAAGCGTTGTGATTGTTGGTTAAGCAGCAATGAATAACCAAATACATCCTCCCTTATTTCGTATCCTGGATAATTAAAGCCTGACTCATTCAACCTCACCTATATTTTTGACCCCATATTCTGAGGCCTGAGGCATTCCTTGGGCTTGATACTTTCTTCTGTGAGCTCTTCTTACCCAGGAATAGGGTTGTGGAGTCAGACTGTCTGGGTTTTAAATTCTAGCTCCTCTCCATTTTAATGGTGTGAACTTGGATACAATATTTTATTACTTTGTGGCTCTATTTTCTCATCTCTAAAATAGAGGTAACTTTACCTTACTAGGGTCTGTGAAGGTTAAATGAGAGGATGCATGCATATCACTTAGCACAGTGCTTGGGGTAAAATACGGACTCCGTGAAGGAGCTTTGGATTCAACCACATGTGATTGAGGATAAAACCTGCCTGGAACATAGGAGTGAAGAACAGACTCGATCCCAGTGAAGCTAGGATGTAGTGTGGGGTGAAAACTTCAAGCTGTGTAGCCAGATTTACTTCACACCTCAGCTCAGCTCTGCACTGGATCTCAATGTCACCAACTATAGAATGGGAGTTCTCAAATAGCATCGCTCTGAGGATTAAATGAGGCTAAAGAGGGTCACAGTAGAGCAGGCACATGAATGGCGCCTGCTCCGTGGTAGATGAAATGTAAATGTGGGTTGGAAAGGCTAGCCAAGATCACCCCAAGGAGTTGTTGTTGCTAGTTGACTTTGATTTGATTCTGACCCATGGTGACCCCCCTTGTGTGCAGAGTAGACTTGCTCCATATTGTTTTCAAGACCATGGCTTTTTGAAAGCCCGTAGCCAGACTGCCTTTCAGGCACTTCTGCAAGTTCAGACCCTCAACTTTTCACCTAGTAGTTGGGGGCTTAGCTATTTTTATCACCCAGGGTTGCTCTTTGAGGAAAGAATGGCCAAATAGAGAGTAGAGCAGATACGAGGCTGTAAACAAGTAATGATCTAGGAGATCAGGAGCCAAAAAGGTGATGAAGAGATGAAGTTTGGAAGGCAAGGCAGAAAGGGAAGCTCTAGACTTCGGTGGCTGCATCAGAAGGTCTAGGAGATACGGACCTCCTCAAGCGCCCTGCGACTACAGAGAGTTCCAGCAAGCCTCACTTGCTCTTCACCTCTGAGGGCTCCTTCCGTGTATGTTCCTTCTTGTCTTTCCCTTCCCCATTTCTCAAAGAACCCGTTCATTCACCGGTGATTTCCTGAGCACTTGGGAATACAATAGTGAATAACAGACTGGTTTCTTATCCCCACAGAGCTTCAGATCACAGATTTAGCAGTTTGGCTGGGAACCTGAACACTTCATGAGCAGGGTGATGGAGGAAGACACAGAGCAGTTAGACAACTGCATCTAAAAGGAACAACTTACAGATCAAAGAAAGCTTCCTGGAGGAAGAAGTTACATGTCAGGAGAAGCCTGAAGGGCAGGTGAGTAGGCATCAACTCAGCCTGTGCGCGGAGAGGCTGTGGTTCCTGTGATTGGAAGGGGGGCATCCTTCTAGCCCAATCACCAGCATCTACAAATACCTGTCAGGAAGAGGAACCTAGGACCGTGAGGACTTTAACGTAGTTCAGTTTTGCTTAAAAACAGTTAGAAACCAGAAGTGGTGAGAGGAGGCTTAAGGGACTGACTATGATGAAACCTGTTCACCTGGTTGAGGGCTTTGGACTTTATCCTAAGGGCACTGGGAAGACATTCAAGTATTGAAGCCAAGCAGTGACATTTAGAAAGAGTTCCCTGATCACCAGGTGGCAAATAGAAGAGACACCCTTTGTGTAGAGGACAGAAGGTTCATGCTTTTTTTTTTTTTTAAGTTTTATTGGAATATAGGCTGGCCCATTCTTCAAGCATGGTCTGTCGTTGCTTCATAGTCCCGGCTGCACAGCTGGGCAACCATGACAGAGACGGTCTGGCTCTCAAAATGCCAAGTGTCTGCTATCTGGCACCGTCATAGAAAGTTTGTGGATCTTCAGGACACCAACTTTTGCCCTTGAATCTAGGGTGCGAGATTGGTGGCCAATGTGAGGCAAAGCAAGCTGGAATGCTAGAGAGTTTATGGCAGACACTCCGTGGCGGAGAAAAGGGAGCCCCAGATGCCAGTTGGGATTGCCCCTGGGTTTGGGTGTCTGTTTACTTTTAAGTGAGAGGAGATTGATTGGAGCCTCTGTGGCGCAATGTTTAAAAAGCACCTTAGCTCCCCAAGTGCTCGGCCAGATTCCTTTAGGAGCCCACGATGTTGGCCTCGCCTTCAGCTCCGTTCCTGCGTCCCGGTCAGTCGCACCCTTCTGAGAGTAGTGTTCTGGTTGTGCAGCTTTCGGCCTTGTCGTGGAACTCAACTCCACTCGCCAACTTCTTCACTGCGTGTGTGCCATGTGGGGAGTTGGTAGGGGTTTGGGGATAGTAGAAAGCTTATTGAAGATTTGAGAGAAATGAAGGGTGTTGAAGACGTGCAAATAATTTATGCTACTGTATATTTTCAAAGGTGTTTTCGGTGTGCCGTGTGGTTATTCCGCCTTCTGTCCTGCCGTTTCCCTCCTCTTGGTGCTCCAACCCCGTCCGTAAGCCCAACTGCATTTCTAAGGTACAGCAATCTATCTTTTTGTTAGCTACTCCTAATGATTCCTCACGGTGTTTTCCTCCGAGAAGAATTCTAGAAACAGGTATCGGAACAATTGGTTTCTCTTGCTCGAATAATAAGGTAAGGTGCCCTGGCGGTGTGGTGGCTATGCACTGGGCTGCCAACCACAAGGTCAGTATTGCGACTGCCAGTTGACCAGTAGGAGAAAGACAAGACTTTCCAGTAGAGCACCGATGAAACGCACAGTTCCTCTGGTTCTCTGAGGCTTTCTCACCCCCCCACGATCATGACCCCAGTCCTGCCTTTCAGTTCTGACTAGACCCAAGCATGTACACTGGCACAGATACGAGCTTACGACACGGGATCCAGGTCAGATACCCACCCCCCCAGGAACAGAAGTGGGGGTAGAAATACCAGGAGGGTAGAGGGAAGGTGGGTGGAGGAAGGGAGGAAAGCAGAACCGATCACAATGATAGATGTATAACAACCCCACACACACGTACCAGAGGGATGAACAACAGAAACGGGTGAAGGGAGACAGTGGTCAGTGTAAGATATGACAATAATAATTTATAATTTATCAAGGGTTCACAAGGGTGGTGGTGGGGGGGAGAGGAGCTGATACCAATGTCTCAACTAGAAATTGTTTTGAAAATGATGATGACAACAGATGTACAGATGCACTTGATGCAATTGATGTATGGATTGTTGTAAGAGCTATAAGAGGCCCCAATAAAATGATTTATTTTAAACAAAGAGAGAGTCTCAGAAACTCAGGTGCAGTTCTACCCTGTCCTATAGGAATCAACTCAAGGGCAGTGAGGGTGGTTTAGAGTTAGTCCTAAGATACCTTGGACCTAGGGTTGGGTATGAAGCCGCAAGATGACTCATCCAACAGGACTAGCCAGAAAAGGAGGTAGTCCGAGGAGGCATCGTGAAGCAGAAGGCCATGGTCATGTCCACAGGAGCAGTGTAAATATCAGACTCAGACACAAGCTTACAAATAAAATAAGAGTCTGGGGATCTGAAACAAAGAAAACAACCTGAAGGATTGTATTGTAGACTTGACTCATTGTACGATGAGATTGCATCCTTAACATAATTTACGTACTGATATTGCTAGCTGCCATGGAGTTAACCCTGGCTAACCCCTGGTGACCTCATGCACTGTAGGACCAAACACAGCTTAGTCTGGTGCCATCTCTATGGTCGTTTGCATTGTGATCCATGACCATTGGCTTCATAAGGCTTTTGCTGCCTGACTTTTGGAAGCAGATTGGCAGGGTTTTCTACCTAGCCTATCTTAGTCTGGAAGTTCTACTGAAACCTGTTAAGTGTCATAGCAATACATAATTCATCACTGGCTACTTACACATTGCCAAGCACACAGTAGGAAGACAAGAAATGTTTGATAAACTGAGCCCTTACCCTCGTGGCATTTCTGAAATCTGCTTTTCTCTGTTCTGCCTGGAACATGACTGTTTTGATCCTATGAGCAATCTACTATGTCCAAATGCAGTGACATTGGTTTTGTTTTTAAAAACCCTAGAGTACCAGTGGATATTTTTAGCATGTTCTCATTTCTAAAGGACCCTAACTTGGTCTCAATTAATTTGTATCACAACAGCCATGACAATGCTATTCCCCTAACTTACTGAATGCCTACTAATTTAAAGTGCATGACCAGAGGCTTACCTATGCCCTTTCATGGTAGCTTCATAATGTTCAGACTGTATTCATTTTATAGATGAGGAGACTTGGGCTCAAAGAGTATTTCCTTCCTAACATCGTAATAAGTGGCATTTTTTCCCCAACTTCAAAACCTTTGCTCTCATAACATTAGGACTTGCAGTCTCATAACTGGTTTCCCACCTTCATTTTCTAAACCTTTGATCTGATTTTCCTCTAAAAATGATTCATTGTGTTCCCAGCTCTTCCTGAATAGAGGCTATACAACTCTGTGTGGCATAATTTGTGTCTTCATAAGTCAGACCTGTGGGAAACAGAGTTCTCCCAAGTTGTCTCCCCCAGATATATGCCAAACCTAGCTGCTTGCAAAACATGGTAAACGACTATACACTTGGATGTCAATGAAAGTAGGTCAGAGGTTATTCATTCATTTTTTTTAAATCTTTTTGTGTGTGTGTGTGTAGAAGTTATTCTTTCTAAGGGTTATTAGCCATTTAGAGCAATCAGACTGTAGTCTGTCCCACCCTAAGCTAGGGCCCACTCCCTTCTGATAAGGATAGCAGATTGTTTCCCTGAAGGAGAGCCCAGGGAGGTCAAGTCCACTCAAGGGTGACCAACTTAGGCTGCCATATTGAGTCTAGGGTCTGACATTCTTGTCACATGTATACCTCTAGGCCCTCCCCTTCTTATTACATGTACACCTCTAGCTCATTCTCTTTCTGTTATGCTTATGCCTATTGTACATCCCCTTCCTGTGATGTGTGTCTTTACCTGTAATTAGGGGGCGTCCATGCCCCCAAAGATAAAATAGCCTTGGTTAGCAATAAATCCCTCTCTCGCCCTCTCACTCATCTCCCACCTCCACGTGGACCACCAAGAGGAGCTGAGGTGAGCATGCTATGCTACCATGAAATGTGTCTGACTTTATTTTGCTCACTCTCTCTCATCTCTCCTACTTCTCAATGACTTTATTATAATCTTTATATATCTTAACTGTACAATTGTGCCTACCGAACTCGTGATCAGTTGTGGGGGGCTGGCCTATTTTAGTGCCCTAATCTGCTGCTGCTGTTTCCTCAAACATGTACTGAATTCCAAGCGTTTGTGTTGGTGGGCACATGCCGAGCTCTCCCATGCTTCTAGGTTTTGTACATTCTTTCTCTTTCTGGACTTTTTCTTGCCTCTCCAGCTTCCTGGACCTTAGAACCAGAGGCCCACATTCTCATCAAGTTCTCTTGTGAGAGCTCATCTCCCTGAGTTTCGCTTTGCCTGCTGGGAATATTGAGGTTAGACGTACTTCCTACGCTTTGGAAACAGTATCTGGGATGAATTGTGCCTTTGGCATTCACTGGCTCTATTACCTTGGGAAAGTTGCCTGGTTTAGCTCAGCCTTGGGG